AGTCGCCGTTCAATATGTAAATTACACGTAACACGTACGTAAACATGAGCAGCAAATAAGACAAAAATCTGGAAGTCGACCGGCGTGTGACGTCAATCAACAAAATACAGAGCGAGACGCAGATTAGAATTGCAAATTGCTGAAAAGTTGAGAGGAAGAGTAGGATGGAGACAGGAAGTATATTATTTGCGAGAATAAGAAAGAGAAAGGATATGGAACGCATACAATAGCGATAGGAGGCGGAGCTAGCCGAATAGATTCGAATCCACTGCAGATTGCATTCGATGCAAAACATTGCGAACGGCAAGTGTTCACGACGGTGTTTCGCGTTCCGCGAAAGAACTTAGGAATGACAAATAGATATCGTCGAATATGCGCTCGAGCGTGACACGGTACGATCGTGATGAAGGGACAAATCCGTCGGAGCAGCGCCGATGCGGATTCTGCTCCGGAATTTATGCCACAATGACGCAGGTCTACCTCTCGAAGAATTCGCGCTACATACAACGCCTGATGTGCTGCGTTTGAAGTGCGTGAAGTAGCACGTCTATTTTTTCACAAATCGATAGTTATTCGACCAAAGTTCCGACGGTTAACACTGTCAAAATTGCAAACACGGAATGCTAATTACGCAACCAACATCAAGACTGAATAATTCCGAAAATTCCGAATTCGTTTGTTTTTTTCTTCTTTTCGACAATTACCGAACAATTTCTGATAGAGAGGAAATTTTTTTGATATCTCTTAAAAAGTACAAAAAAAAAAGAATTGGAAGAAATCTAATTTCAAGCCTGAATAGCTCTGATTATAGCTCTCTCTTCCTCCTTTGATTCCTACATCTGATAGATGTAGACTAGTTTTGAAGGAATTATAGTTAACACTGTTTTTATCTTCCCCGAGAAAGCATACTTGTAAGATATTCCTTTTCGATCATCGTTTCTTGTAGGCTTCTACACACATGTACACATACACACACACATGCCACACGCGTATTAAATTTTCAATTGGCGGGATTATATTGAACACTCCATTTCGTTTTCACTTGGCGTCACATACTGTTAGCATAAAAAAAGTAAAATAAGAAACCGCGACTTGCAGATAAAGAGTAGGACTACAGTTATTGTGAGGATAATGGGCAAAAACGAGCAGGTACTTTCAACAGATTTTGTACAAACTGGACATTGCATCAGACCACGTGCTCGGTTAAACAAATGAAAACAGTTACTTATTCAAGTTATTTAACTATGTGGTTAAGCGAAATTAATAATTACTTATTGTTGAGTGTAATTATGTTAAATCCCTACTTTGCTTTGTGATATTTTGGTTGCATAATGATTGTATCATCTATCTCAAAGATATCTGATTAAATATCTAATTTATAAACTAATGTCCAATAATTATGAAACAAAAAATTATTGTTGGAGTAAGAGGTACTTTATAGACGTATTATACATTATTAAATATTTACGTGGCTACGTTATTATTTGCCCGGTGCAATTTTGACTGAATTTCATAATTCGACGCACAAGTACAGTAAAAATATACCAAAAAGTATAAAAATATATTTAAATATATATAATATTCGAAAACAAATCATCGCTACGTACTTATGAGAAAATCTTTCACTTTTCAACAGTTTTAAACCTTAGCATTGAACACTTTTTCAAATACTGCTATTTCACTTTATCTGTGCTATCCGGTAGCTCAAGTAACAATGAACGCCCTTTGTACTTTACGAAAGAGAGAAGGGATTCCTTGAATATGTATAAAAAGTACCGCTTCTAAATCGTTATTGGCAGAAGTGAAGGAGAGTAGGGATAGGAAATGTGCTACACTGCCATCTCTTCTCCTCCTCTTTCACTCTCAACTTAATGTAATACTAGATAATATTAATATTGATATATAATTTAGTATTCATTTTAATGCAATCGTAAATTCATTTAATAATCAGAGGGAAGAAATTCGTTAAATACGTGAAATCCAAATATTCAAATATCTGAGGTTTAGCTTTATTTGACGATTTTAATATATTAAAGAATTTTTAAGTGAGACAATCAAAATGAAGAAACCGCTTCAAAGAATCACGACACTGCGCACAATATATTTCACGTATAAAAATTGATCGGACGCATAACTACGGTAGCATAAAATTACGATGATAGATCGGAAAAGAGAAAAAGTTGCAACACGTACAACATATTGTCATTATAGTCATTCAGTGGACGAGTTATCATTATCGGTAACCAATACAGATAAAAATTATCAAAATTACAATAATAACGTGTGTATTTCTGAACAGCGAAAATCTAAATAATACCCGAGTCGAAATTTAAATTATACATTAAGTCTGAAATAATAACAATAACTTCTCATTTTTAGCATCAAAGAACCCCTATAATGAACGTTCCATTTTTCCATCTCAGACCTAATGTAGAACTTAAATTTCGGCTCGGGTACGGCGGTAATGTGAATACGTCAAAATATTACAATGAAATAATATACTGGATTCCAAGTATTACAATATATAGCAGATGCATATGTAATATTGTTATCTTGCAACTATATATCCAAGATGCTTCTGCAATTTTTTATGTTATGCGAACAAGTAAATATCGATAGTTTCTTCAATAACTTTTAGAATGTTTGTAATTCAAGGTATCACTTTCCCCGCATGGAAACTATAAATCTTCTTAATAATCAATTATTTAAATGGTGCAAGCAATATCGGTTGATTTCTGATGAAACTAAATAATCTGCATAAACGTTATTGCGTACTATCGAATGTTAAGCATTTCATAAGTAGAAAAAAGTTGTCGACCACCAGTTTTCTATCCTTAAATAACGTTATAAATGTCCATAACGATCAATTACTTCGAATATTGAGAAACACGATAAACGAAGCGTTTCGTGTTTTATGATCACACCGTCCAATTACACTAGAAAATCCTCTCGAAAGCGCCTATGAAGAAGGTAGGAAGTATGTCGCGATGCAATCCTTTGCAATTAACTGATATTGAAGATAGTCGAATTAAACAAAACACATATTATTGTTTTCTACTGAACAATTTCTGCGTAATATCCATATATTGTGACCCACCTACTGTTGGACTATTATCAAGTGTCACATTTTCGATATCGGTCCGGTAATTGCAACAAAAATTTTTTAAAATAATTTTTTCACTAAGAACTTGATAAAGTGCCGAGATCCCTCTAAGAGCAACTTCAGTAATTCGGTATCTATAATCCGAAATTAAGATAAGACTTCGAATTATAAAATTGGTTTCGTTAGTTAACTTTTCGTTTATGTAAATTTATTTATTAAGCATTAAAATGGATTGTTGTGTGTAATATAAATATAAGTGACAAACTTTAAAATAGAAAATTCATTAAATTTTTAATTAATCAATGGAAAATCTTAAAAGGATATGTGTAGAAACACTTATGCACAAGTTTAAGCGACTGTAGGTCAATAAATTATTTCAGGTATCTGTAACACATTACTGGACATCTGATCCTGGGTCAGTAGAAAAAATGCATGCTAATATATAAGATATACACATATATATATACACACACATACATACATATACACACACATACACACACATATATATATGATTTTTTTAAAGAACACAAATATTAAAAATCATTCTAATAATTTCTGTAAAATTCTAACAATTCTTTTCCTCGTTCTAATCTTATTAATTAAATACTACAAATACTACAGATACGTTACATATATAGATGTAAAAAATGCATATAGCGTATCATATCAAGTGTCAAATTAATTTATTTTTTAAATTAATCTTTTAAAACGTGTGAAAGGAACGTTTCGACTAGTGATCGATGTCCATGTGTTTGTCCAGCAAGCACGATACCTCCAATCACAAGACCTACAATGCAGTGATAAGATTTCAGTCTTGTCTTAACTGCGGATATCTTTTATTTCGTACAATCATTTAACCAACAGCGTTTATTCAATTCACCTCTCTCATCATCCCAATACTTTCACGTAAGATCATTTTGTACGAATACCGTCCACGTTCACGTTGCTTCAGTCGATACAAAGTCCTTTAGTTAATACAGGTCCCGACCAGCTGAACCGGACAGTCGTTCATGACCAGTCGAAGAGCTTCACCCTAGCAAAATGTGGTAACATAACGCGAGGTCTTGCTTGTTTATCCGTACGACACCGAGCCACGGTTGTTCGTACAAACCTGATACCGTGAATTTCAAATGAGCTGATTATCCGTACCCGCGCGGCCCTCATCTCTCTCTCCTCGCGGATTCAACGTCCGAAAGGAGACTCTCACTGAGCTTGAAGATTCGCGGGATTCTACCGCGGAGCAATCGTTTCGCGCGCGCACCGAGCGCGCACGTAAGCTCCGTACTACATAAAAGCGCGCACGTCGAGCAACGAGCAGGACGGCGCAATTAACGGCGTGGGCCGTGGTCGATCGTGCAATTAACTTTAACGAACGGGCGGCCTTGCGATTAAACTTAATTAGTATCGCGGTAATAACTCGTTAATAATCAGAGCCGTGTGTATGGGAGCGTGGTTCTGTGTGTGTTCACGGCCGTGCGCGCACGTGCACGCATTTACAGATACACGCCGCGTCGTATGTGCGTGCGCGTACGTACGTTGTGTTGGTACACGCGCGTGTGTATCACATCACACGCATGTGTGCGCGCGCGTCTGTGCACATTCACGAGCCAGTGGTGTGTGTGTGGATGGGTTTCATATTTACGTGACGACGACGGCGACGAAGAGGAGGAAGACGATGCTACACGATCTCGACACTGAGCGATGCTCGGGTGAAGACTCTGCTCGTTTCACACCAAATCAAGAAGCGGCAACAAAATAAAGCGCACATTCAGCACCAACCAAAGAAGACAATCGGAGATCAACGTGTAAAATGGAAGCGGCACGACAATGCATTCACACTGGCTGCGTCTCGCATTCGCCTTTGATCTGCCGCGCACGTAGTCTGTGAAATTACCTTCGCTCTCCGTCGGGTCTCTTCTCTCTTAACCGCACTAGCAGCCGAAAATAACGGCCTCTTCCTCGTCGTCGTCCCGGGTGACACGTGAGAATCGGAAGGTTCGGCCGATCCGTAAGCCGGGCGCGCGTGGCCGATCACGGAGCAACCGTACGAACGAAGAACGAGTAACTGAACGGACTTCGGTGCGTCACAGCGGCTACCGGTGTGGCATCGCGCTCCTCTTCATTCTCTCTCCCACGTTCTTCTCGCTTGTTACCGTTCCTCGTCGGGGCACCACTACTCTCCACCGAGAGCGTTCCTCTCCTTCGCGCGGCGACACTGTCCTGTCGCGCGTTACCGCGCGATATACGAATCGAAGGCAGCGCGCGCGCGTTTAAGATCAATGAATCGCGGATCACGCGCACGCCGCTCACACGTAGCGTCAGGAGTTGAACGAGCACCGGAGCGAGGTAACCGACGCGAGTAAAAGCGTGCACAGAACTACCGTCTCTCTCTCTCCCGGATGACGACGAGCGAGGCGGCTGGATAGCACGATCACGAACCTGATTGCGGGGCGGCGCACCGAATTATGGTTCGCCTTACGCTTTCGGCGGTCGCTCGCTCCCTCTACGCGCACGTCTCTGCCCTCCTCGTCCCTCCGCCGCGCGCTCCCGCTCGCACTTCTGTATTTCCCCACTACCCGCGTACGTACGCGGCGGGTACAGCTGGCGGAGCGGTGGATATCGCCCCACCGCGCTCGGTTGGTACAGTGACTCTTTATAGCGCAGACAGCAGTCTCCCACCACCGGAACGCGCTCTGCCACTACGGCGGTACGCTTCTATCTCCCCCCACCAGGAGACGGGATACTCGCGCGCTCGGTAGCATTGCCCCTTGCGAGAGGGGCGAGACGCGCGCGCTGCCACTTTACGACGTAGCTGCGGGGATGATGACGGATACGTCGCTGAGGCGAGGCAGCGCGTGAGGATGCTTTACGTCTTCCGGTGTGAGGTTTTAGCGCGAGAGAGAGAGAGAGAGAGCATGGTTTTCGGGAACGGGCTGCTTTCAGCCCCGCGGAAGCCGGCCTAACGAGGCAGGATGTTTCTACTTGTGCGCCTCATGCCGATTTCGTCTTCCGATATAAATCCGCGTTCGGAACCGAAGTCGTTTCCGCAGCGACCGCTCGCTCACGGATCGGCTGGATCGGGATGCGTTTTCTCTCATTGCTTGAAATCGAATGGACCTCCTTGTCGTGGAGTTTCGGGAAAGAAACGCATTCAGTCAAGTCGCTCGGATTGTTTCCGCTCGAATTTCCGTTGTCCGAGATGATTTTATCCCGCTGGCGCGGGAGATGATAGGCGGTAAAATTGGAGGTATAATTCAACGGAAGGAGGAATTACGCGGTGAAAACGACATGCTTGAAAATTCGTCTCTTTCTCCACGTTTCTTCCCATGTATGTAATTAATGAGATCGATTCTCAGCTAAATTTAACCAGTGTTACCCTGGTAAATTTTTGATGTGGACGTGAAGCAGCTTTTATTCTCGGAGCTGCTGAAGCCTCCATCAGGAAAATCTTAGATATTTAATCGACGTGCTATCTTTGAGACGCTGAAAATACATAGTCCCCAAAGACGTCTTTAAGTGTCATAGTTTTGGAATAGAAAGTAATCGATATCAGAACGAGAATATCTCCTCATAATTAACAATCGAATTATCAAGACGAGATCACATCGCCGTTCGCAACCGCACGCGTTATTTCCTGCGGACTTTCACAATTTTGCCGCAAAGACGTTTTCCATTTCAGAGAGAGACAGTTATCAAATTGTTAAGAATGTTTCGTTGAACATCACTGAATGTGATATCGAATATTTTAAAAACAACGTTCTATAAGCAACTTCATTTCGAGCATCGAACACGACATTATTCAATTATTCCCGAATGCATTTTCCGATGCATGAGGTGTCACGGCACGTGAAACAATTCCGGGAATGCGTTAATCCGCATTAGTCATATGATGTGTAACAAGATTCTTAATGTTGTGCTTAATAGCTTTGTCAATTGAAAACTGAGTACAACAAATAATACTTCTAGATACAGTGACAGTATATATACATAATTACAGTCATTAAATCACTATTAAGTTATATTACTTATCAATTACGGATGCATGTTGTAAGACCGTAGATTACATGTCGGCATAATTTTCCTATAATTGTTCTTATATGTATATATTTTAATGACAAACTAATTGCTTCGTCCGACGTTCTGTTTATTCTTCGTCAGCTTATGAGTCAGTTGAGAATGTAGATTCGCGAGGCAAAATATTTTTCATCTATAAAAGAAATATACAGAAATTGCAATCTACTGTATAATGACAATTATTTCTTTCTCTCTCTCTCTCTCTCTCTCTTTTACATCTTGCAAAATGTGCTTTCTAAGTGCAGCCGCCAGCATGCAGCACCGTGCGGTGTACGCTGAGCCAGCGGTTCTCTCTTGCTACCCCTAATAATGTCACACGATCGATAGTCTATTCCGAAGACACACCCAGGAGCAACTACGTCCTTATCAGAAGGTGGTGAGCAAGCCGGGGCGTCCTCAAGTATCGGCGTTACCGCTGAAGGTAAAGGGACAACGTGGGAAAAGTTGCACGCCGAAGGTGGAGCAAGTCCATGTGCGGAAAGTGCCGTGCTCATTGCACTTTCGCTAACTCCTTCTTTCGTCTCGCTTCCTTCACCCTCCGGTAGATGTCGGCGTTCGCGAAACTGCACGAGGGGGTGCGAAACCGTAACTGCTTCAGTGGACCGCGTGCAATCCTTTCGCGAGCAGGATCTTTCTTCGACTTACACGCGTTAGAACAAATCGATTTCTCTGTAGGAGCAAATAATAATATCGTATTGTTTATAACAGCGCAAATATATCGTACTATGTGCATGTTTCCTTTGCTCTCTCATTTACGTTGTGTTTCCTTCCTTGCCCAAAAGTTTGTGTTTTCTTTTCTCTGTAGAGCGCCTCGGATGGATATATTTCGCACACGCAAGCTATCCGCAAGCCCAGCCAAATTTTACAATCCACTCGGAATTATTATATCGCAACGGCGACGCTATAATTCATAGTAAGCCTATTGTTTCTTAATTACTCAGGTAGTATTTGTCTGTTTATTTGGTAGAAAATTAACTCTTCGGATATGTTCGTTGAAATTTCCAAATCATTCTATAAACGTTAGAAAATTGACAGACAGAAGTGTCCACATGGAATAATACGATTTTTAATATGTTTTTTTCTTTTTCTAATAACCAGTAATTAACTTAATGCGTTGAAATTGTGTACTTCGAAAGTAGCTGTTATTAATGCACTGCGCGATATATTCCAATGCGTTTTTAGCGATAAGTAAATGCGCCGCGCACTGAAAACAGTAAACGATGGTTAAAAACTAATTAGTAAAATATTAGGAAAGTAAAACATCCTGTGTGTAATTGTACGATTTTATTATCGAATCGACACTAAATTGAATATTTACTACTTAGATATATGACGTTAAAAAAATATGTATTTAAATATTTTTTACTTATAAATAGGAATATATATATATATATATATGTTGTTTTTAAATATTTTTAAATATCTATAAATATTAAATTTATATTGGATATATATATATATATATATATATATATATATATATATAATCTACACATGTTACTTGCTTCTAGAAACGTCTAGGAATAGAAATACTAAGCAGTTTATAAAGCATCACGAGGGACGTGATAATATTGTGTAGCTTTAGAATGAAAGGAACGAAGAAATATCGAATTGACAGGTGGTATGATAGTTTGAGGAAAAACAAGGCCACGAATCCAATAACTGCTTTCTGAATAAAATGACGCTAATAGTGATAACGGGTACAGGCGTTATCGTTTAATTGATGACTGATTAATTCTTTTGACTATTCCTTTCCTAATTTAAATCATACCGAAAATTGTCGTGACACGTAACGTTCACGAAACGTCACTTAAGCTAAACGTCGCTATTAAATATTACTCAATTGGATTTATTTATCGCGATTTTCGCAGCTGCTGAAATCCATCGGTACTGAAAGATTAACGAATTAATAAAAACGATCTTGCCGCTATAGCCGCGTTAGCCGGCGTTAAATCGAATTTCATATTTGAATATTCAAGTATTGGAATATCGACAGGTACACGCGACAATGCGTGGATATTTTAAGAATGAAAAGCTCTAACTGTCTATCGCCGGTCATACGACGAACTGTATACCGCCGGTCATACGGCGTTGGCTGTATTATTCCAGATCTATAAACGTCCAAATCACAAATAAATCCCAACATTTTCGTTCCGTTATCACCAATCATCTTTGAAGGGCAAACGATGCGCCGAATATTTCGATGCCCTCAATGTCAGACGCGGTGTTTGTATTCACCATCGTTGACTACCTGTCGTCATTGTCACGAGATGAAAAATTGAGCGCATTTACACCGCTCGGTGCGAAATTCCAAACGATTATCTGAAAACACATCACAGTTCGCACAAACTCCCGAGCGCAAGAGGACACGAACTGAACGATCCCCACAAGCGCAGCCAATCGTCGGTTGCGAGGGCCAAACTGTCATCTTGCCGGACCTCAGCCACGTGTCCCGCGTCTGTCTCCGATCTAACGTCGCGGCGCGAAACGCACCCTCGGCTGCGCCAGCGCACGCGATCGATACCCCAGACCGGGGTTTTCTGTCTGTTCGCGTGACGTCACAGTGCGCGAACCAAGCCGAGGCAAGTAGCGACCGTAGGCTACCGAGGGTGACCGAGGTGATACGAGCCGTGTTAGCAGCAGCCCGTCGACGCGAGCACGACCCAAGCTTTACCGTCGTTTCGACGTAGTGTCCACTGCGTCGGTCTCGAGCGTTTCACGCGGAAATTCATTCCGGCTGCTCGCGAGTCGCGTCCGGTGGGATCGCTCGGTTCTCGCGGGTCCGCCGTTTCCGGATCCCGATCGCGAGCGTCGAAACGACGTCCACGCGCGAAAGTGACAGCTCCGAGTGGTGTGCTCTCACGGGGAACGTCGGGGGACCCCCGGGCTTGCAGGCAGGAAAGAGAGTCCCGTAAGTTTCGACAACGCTGCGCCACCGGGGTACGGGATTACGGGGAGGGGGGTCGGGAGTGCGATCGGACGAGGCGGCAAGGTCACCGCCGGAGCGAACGGAATCGTCTTACGGAATTGGTCCAGGCGTGAGCCGTCCCGTTGTCCCGTCTGATTATTTGCCGGCGCTTTTTCCACCGACACCGCGTTTCCGCAGCGTACAACTGCGGAGAGCGGACGGAAGACAGCGCGCCGATCATAGGCAAGCCGCAACCCCTTCGGGTCGCGGCGCAGCTGAGCTCGACCGGGCGCGACCCACAGCCCTACATTCGCGGTCTGCGGCGTGACCTAACCTCATCTCACCCCACCTTAAGCGAGCTTTCGTCGCCACCCTCCCTATTTCAAGAACCGCGGACGACGACAGGATCTTACGCATCCTCATCTATTCAGCTTCTCGCGCTCTCGTCCGAATTAATCGATCGCTCGTTATCATCCGTCTTGTCTCGTTGCTTTGTAATATCACGCTTTTCAACAGATACTTTCGCCATCCGAAAGACGTCGAAGACCTACTGTTTTGTTGCAGCGGCTTGCGCGTACCCGGATGTTTGCTTTTTCCTCCGTC